TTTTTCTGTTAGAACTCGACCACAACATGTGTGTATGTTTCAACCATGGGATTTAATTTCATAAAACTTTAATAAACAATCAAGTGGTAAGTACATACCTGCTCATTTTCAAGCTTGCGGTCATTGACCTGAGCATCAACTGTGATAACGTTTTTAGCACCTTCTTGTATTTCGATTTCAAAACTCTTCATGTTCGCATGCGCTTTGCGATCAACATGTATCTGCTTGTTCGATGATTTATCAACGGACATGTTGCTTTAAGGTGTACACGCACATGTGTATTTCTATTCTGCCGCTACACACACGCGTACCAATGAGGTTTTTTTTCGATAAAATATCGCGATTAGAGGCGATATTTTGTATCTTATATCTCGATAGGTCTTAGCCCTATCGAGACGCCACGTTAAACCGCTATGAAAAAATTGATTGCGATATATCATGCGGAATGAAGTTATCGGTTTCTGTCCCCGATGAAATTTTTATCGAAATAAAGATCTCCATTATTGCGATAAAGCATCTTATCGAGATAATAATCTGTCGAGATGGAAAGCGAAACCTTTATATCGCGCGATATGTCACGATAAAGTTCCGTGTGGCGGTCTAACGTGGCATCTCGATAGATTTAATTCCTGTCGACGACTGTGATGATTAGTAATTTTATCGCTATATAGTCCGATACCGTGGTCATGCTGCAATGTATGCTACATAATAGAAAGTTCTATCGCTGTTTTACAAGACGCAATGTTGTGGAAAACAGTACGATTATTGACTTTTCGATGAAGCTAAAGGCAGATGTGGTGAGAGATGTTAGAATAGCTGGAATAGACTGCTTATTAACTTAAGCATCAAACTTGTCGGATCCCATCTTACCGGTCTTATCTTCGGGATGTGACCCGTCGAAGTCATAATGTAAGTGGTCGTTGAATAGACAAAATATATCTGAAAGTAACCAATAACCAAAAGTAACACTGTAAACAAAGAAAGTAAACAGGAAATCTGAGTTTTTTCAAAGAAAAACATCGCTAAAAGACTTCTAAATACCCTTCGCGCTGAAAAGACCAAGGAGTTTCGTTCCGTACTGGCTGTACGAAACTCGGCTGAGTTTTTTCAGTACAGTATATAAAAAAGGAACTTTATAGAAAACCAGCTGAAGAAAATAAATAAAAATTGCAAGTCGTTAAGTTATTGTTATCTTTTGAAAGGCGTCGTCCACGTAAAATTCATTCACAAAAATTAATATCAGTTCGTTGTTGGAGCGAATCTAGCATCCCGTGAATGAGGCGGTATAGCCTGGCATCCAATCCTCTGTGAATCAAACAGGACCAAACTGGTACTTGATACATCCAGGAAGCCGCCAATGGCAAACCGATCTTACACCGAAGAAACTCACAATTGTAATGATAAACATCGACCATTTGGTGCATGTCTCGCTTTTGTGCGTTTTTATTTGAAGATCTTGCACAGTCAATATTTTTAACTGAGCGTACACAACGGAGAAAGGGCCTTAGATTCGGTACATTATCTGAGACGAAAGACCTTTCATAACTGTTAATGAGAAAGATAATTCAGTTTTGTGACAGGAAAAACGTAGGACGTTAGAAATAATTAAAAAATAATATTGTTATAAACTCAGTCGTAGATTAGAGCACTGAAGCATAGCACAAAAAGCGCGTGTGTGTAGCGACAATAGAAATACACATGTGCGTGTACACCTTAAAGCAACATGTCCGTTGATAAATCATCGAACAAGCAGACACATGTTGATCGCAAAGCGCATGCGATCATGAAGAGTTTTGAAATCGAAGTACAAGAAGGTGCTAAAAACGTTATCACAGTTGATGGTCAGATCAATGACCGCAAGCTTGAAAATGAGCAGGTATGTACTTACCACTTGATTGTTTATTAAAGTTTTATGAAATTAAATCCCATGGTTGAAACATACACACATGTTGTGGTCGAGTTCTAACAGAAAAATATAGAAGGCGATCAGGAGAGAATGATAGTGAGAGATGAGGATACTTAGAATATCTCACCTGCCGTTACGTGCCCTTAACGTGATCCGACCTCTGGTTAAAAAAAAGGATCTTTTTATTATTAAATTAGAGGGGTGAGAGGGACAACAAAAAAATAGCACTCCTCTCCTGTACGTACAATCTTATTAAAACGAAGAATCTCGCACTCTATATGTATAGAGCTGATAACGATGAAAAAAGCCACGTCAGCAACGAGTCAGATTCAGTCAACTAAAATAAAACATCTCTGCAGCGAAGGAAAGAGAAGATTAAATAGAGAAAGGACTAAAAGATGTCACTGCCTAACACCTCCCCTCTTCGGCCAGATGAGCGTTCCATCCGCTCATCGAATACCAACTAATTATTTCCTTCCTCCCAGCTAGAAACAAGCATTTTACTCTGCTCAAATAACATTTAACCTAATGTTCAATTGCCACTTGAGGATCACCTAGTAAGTTGTTGTATTCAGTTATCATGCCACTAATTAATATACTGCCACTTTTAACTATTAATTAATGCTAACCAGATTGTTAAGTCACGTTCGGCACTTTTGCTGGTTGCAAATGCTACTCATTTGTGAGAGTCAAAAATAATGTATGTACACTCCATGACAGGTTTCATCCCTCAATAAATACACCCAATATAAATATACCCAAATACACCCTCAACGTTTATAGAAGGGACTCATATCATTAGTATGAGTCTCTCGTTGGTAGTGTTCCTCCATATGCTCCACTAAGTAATGAACTTCACTTAATTTCTGAATCACTCTAAACGGCCCATGATACCGTTCATCCAGTTTTGATCGTGAAGGCAATACCTTAATCCATACTAAATCGTCCACATGATACATTGGATGGGCTCTTCCTTGATCATAACGGTACAGCATTTGTTGATGTTTAATGTTGCTACGAGCAGCTTGAAGAACAAGCTTCTTAAGTCTAATTGCTTTTTGCCAATAGTCATGTAGCTTGTGAAGCGAAATAGTTGTAGATTGAGGAGAGAACGGAGAAATTAATTTCTGTGTGAAGGCTAATTCGTACGGCGTGTATCCGGTGGTGGCATGAATACCTGAATTATAAGCCAGAACAATTGACTGCAAATATTCGTCCCAATCGTTAAGGTTGCCATCATTGTGTTTCTTCAATTGATCACAAAACGTAGCGTTGAATCTCTTCACTTGACCATTCGACATCGGGTGGTATGGAACAGAAAATGATTGTTTACAACCAATTAATGTTGTCAGTGCATTCACTAACTCGTTTTTAAAATGAGTACCGCAATCTGATTGTAAATACTTAATTGCTTCATGATTCAGAATAATATCTTCATATAGCATTTCTGCGGCATCCTTGGCCGATTCACTGGGTAATGCCTTGGCGAATACGTATTTCGAAAGACGATCGGTAACGGCTAACACATACTGATTACCACTTAACGATCGAATGGGAGCTTGCCAGAAATCCATCTGCATCACCTCGAAAACACCTTCTGGTGGCGATTGAGTTTGTAGGAGCCCTGGGCGTTTTCGTCGTTTGGTATTGAACCTTGCGCATTGCCGACATGATTGAATATATTGTTCGACATAATTATACATTTTTGGCCAATAAAAGTGATCTTTTATTTTACAATATGTTCGTTTCACCCCGAAATGGCCACCTAATGGGTGATCACGATATGCGAATAATATTTCCTGTCGCAAGGATGATGGAATCCATGGTAGTTTGATCTTTATTGAACCAGCTGGCAAGAGCAACTTATACAACATGCCATCTTGTACGATCTCTGACGAATGCCTACTCGGAATGTGCAGAATTTGTTTAATTTTATCAGTAATAACTTGATCATGCTGTTGTTCGTTCCTGATTCTTATAAGACTAAAATCAATCAACGGTGCTTTACTTGTTACTGTTGTGGGAGTTCTGGGTGTCGAAAAAATAGGTGAATCCTGTAAGCGGATTTAATGATGTCGTAGTCAACTCATCAGGCCTAATGCCAGGCGAGTTCTTCGTCGTTCTTGATCTTGTTTGGATAATGTTCGATGATGGGATTGTAACAACATTTCTGGTGGGAGTAGAATTCGAAGACGTTGGTATGTTTGGTGTTAATGAACGTAATGATCGTAGTTTCGATCGTGTAACGGCATTGATTTGAATCTTGTCTTGTTGAAATTTTCTTGTCGTTAATCCATGGTGTTGTGATGACGATGTCTGTTGACTTTGCACATTTTCTTCTTCGTCTGACGAAACAACAGGGTATCTTGAGAATAAATCAGCATCGCAATTGCGTTTTCCCTTCTTATACCTAATCTCTTTAATATCATATTCAGATAATTCTACCGACCATCGATCAACACGACTACCCCCCCCCATAATAGAAGCCTCCCCCATA